GCACGAGCGGAACTGTTCTTGACGACCGAATCAAAATCGTTGATGGAATGAAGTGCGGCAGTATATATAAACAAACATGTAGCGTCTTGTACACGTTCACGTTTTGTACATGTATAGAAAACTGTGAATGTGATATGTGCAGTATGCACGAGGACTATACTGATGTTGAGTGAATTACCGGTAAAGTCTGGACATTTTAGAGTTTCAATTAATGTTGTTAATATGAGAAAAAGGTAACGTACGTGTACAACATTTGCAAACATAAAAAAAATGAAAGAACCAATTCATTATGAAATACATGTACTTCCTTGACTGTACAATAAGTACCATGTACATGTACATGTAAACTAATAGGCGAAAGTATCCTGTGAAATCGTTGCAGGTGGCACATTTACATGTACATTGTACATAAATTAGGACTGCAGTTCATGCATTTAACGCCAACACAATTTTGAAGTTTATTATTTTTGTTATAGAATCAGGCCTTTCAAAGATGAGATTTCGACGTCGCATTATAGAGCATGAATTTACATTATGTGCGTATACCTCTGTCGTCCCTTTTACAACAAGATACAATTTTGCGTGTTTGAAATACAATGAGACTTCCAGACTCCATATCGTACAGGCATTGCGCAGTCTTGCTCAAAATGTTTGTAAATGACGTGACATGCAGGAGATAACATGTGCGCGCATATACAATGTTGGACTTGCAGCCTTCAGAATATGCGCGCAGTACGCTCTGAATAGTCAATCAGTGTCGTTTACTTATAATACACGACCAGGGATTAGTGAAGGAACGCGCACGTAGCCCATGGAGTCAAGCTGATAAAATTGGGACACAGGACTCGATCTTTGTCAAGTGGATAGCAATGTTTTTTTGTTTTTTTTATTTAATCACTGGTCGTACATGTACTTATTCAACTTGTACAGTTGTACTTTGTACCACTCTCGAGTGGAACTCTTCAAATTGCTAACTTTTTGTCCCTCAAACTGCAAACTTTCTGAGTAGGTGGCCGCAAGGTTTGCCCGCATGAGACTATTTGCATATCACTTCAGATCTGCAGAGCTTTTATTTGATTTCTGTGATTTACAACTGTCGATTGTCTCTTACCAAGTGCTTCTTGGATATGTACAGAGTCGTTTTTCGCTGTCTAAGTATCGGAAAAAATGGGGGCAAAATTCAGGAAAATGGGGATTGACTGGAGTATTGCCATTTGTTGGGGTTACACTCCGGAGAAAGTTACATTTTCGTAACGTGAGTAACCGATTTTGCGCGTCTTGTTTATCATACATAACACATTTTTCTGGATGTCATCTTTGATGCTTACCGGTAGGTAGGTCTAGGTCTACTCTATCTACCATGGGGACAACAGTTATTAAACCTTTTCAGTAAGGTAATTACAGCCCAAGGAAACTCAAAAGTACATCAAAAAAGTAACGTGAGTAACCGTGGAATTGCCCATATGCGCTGTCACGAACCAACTAGTTAACCACTCGTTCTTGATCAAACTCGCTCCTTGATGAAGGTGTAAAACTGCGCCGGAATGCTTGAGGGCAGTACAGGGACACGGAGTACATGACTAGCAAATATAGAGGCCCTTTTTATGGCTAGAACATTGCACTATAAATTCAATGTTGAGTTTTGCCCTTCACTGACGTACTTGATGAATTGCATTGCAGTGCACTAGCTAAAGTACAATGTATTATTCAGATACTCCGTCATGGGGCAGTTTCCTTGTACAATAGCTAGCACAATGCTGTCTCCATTGATGGGGGCCTCATGGTCACATGCCAGCTTTCGTCTATACATGTACAAACACCATGAACACAAGGAACTGCACACAGACGAACCCCCAGCCTCAAGATTGGACAAATTGCTCTCGCTGCATGCGTTAAACCATCGCCAAGATTTCTTGGAGTGTGCGATCATTATCTGATCATATCTTGTAGATTGCGTTCCAAATATACATGTACATGCACTTGCACAGTTTACATGTACATGTACATGTACTAAACTGCACTTGTACATTACATGTACATGTACATGTACATGTATACATGTACATGTACATGTACATGGTAACTAAATGCATCGTGCAGTGTGCATGCACCGCTACATGTCTGTGTTATCATGGAGCTAGGAAAATGCACTACTGCACCCAACATACACGTATACACACTTTTGCACAGCATTGAACAGTTTTTTTTTTTAAAGGGGAGCACAATTTAAACAAATAAGTACACAAATGAATAAGTAAATAAAAAATATTATATCATCTTTTTATTTCATAAAACAAACAGCAACTGACATTCCGTCCACGAACTGGTGTTAATCGATTTCATACAGAAATCACTTCTTTTTTTTTTTTAGAAATGTCTAGCAAAATACATGTAACATATTTGCACATATGAATCAACAATGTTAACAATAGCATTAACTGATGCTTTGATAGACCTTTTGCATGTAGGTGGTGTCAGAGGGCAATATATCACTATAGGATAGGCATGAATAAACCTTTGTGCATTTATTATATTTAGAAATAAATTACAACAAAATTGACAAAGAACATTTCTATTGTATTTCAAACCCCTGATTCAGTCCATTTTTTTTCCTGAAAAAAAAAAAAGATTCAAGTGCATTTACCATGTACAGGTTGATGTCTTCACTACAGTGCTGTCGTTTGCACTCCTTGCCTACGGTAAAAATGCGTTTTCATTATCGGAAACCGGGCCATGCGCATAAATCTACAGGCCGCTTTTCTGACTGATTTGCCCAATTATTTGTAATTTGTTGAGGGCAGGCGTTGCGACCCTTGCCATAAATAACGGTGTTCTGCACATATATTAAATTTCCAACACGTACGGTACATACATTACATTTTGTACACTTGTATCTATCTGCACACTGTATTTTATACATTTGCTTTTGCTGTAATTTTCAGGAATGGATGGATTTGGGGGTTAGTATTTTAAAGTAAATATTGTTACATGTACACTGACCAGTTTTAAGTTTTGTGTTCATGGAGACTGGAATAATCAAGAAAAAAATTGCTGTTTGTAAAGTCTGGTTCCCTGACCCAACTTCAGATGATATGGAACATTTTATAGATGTCCGTGGATTGTCAGGTCAGGGATCCAGACTACATGTAGCTTCCCTGCACATGTTCACGGATGTGTAACCAATTGCAAACAAAATGTGGACTAACTGAATTTGGTAAATTGGAGGCAGTATTTTGAAGAAGAAAAAAAGAAGAGTTCTTTTCCAACAATGATCCGCAGACCATCGTTGGAAGTTGATACAAAAATTCAACTTTTGTTGAAAATGACAGCACACAATGTGCCATGATTTAACCGGATGTTTGCGACTATTATTCACTATTTCATAATAATTTGGTAGTTTTGTTTTTGATGCTTGCAAATGATAAACATGTACATGACCTTCAAATTATTGTTTGGTTATCTCATATTTACGTTTTTTCCCCTTCATTTTTTTAAATTTGAAGTAACAAAATTGCGTATAATCTTCAGTAACTGTACATTTTAAGAAGACAGAGAAAACACACGAACTTTTTTTGGGGTTCTTGTACGTGTAACTTGATCCCGTTACTAACGCGCATGTCAGAAAGTGTGCCCATAGTCAATAAAAAAAGTGCTGAAAAGGCCAATTTCCTTTTTTTTTTAAAGAATTTATGCAGAGTGATAGAAAAGAAGTTGGCCAATTCATGTACGAGCATACATGTACATGTAATGTTCTCTACAGTGGTTAAACAGAATAAAACTTAATTGACATTCGTGCTTTTAAAATACCATTCGCTTGAATGCAAGATATCCAAAACCTAATTTGTGAAAACATTTCATTTGCAAAACACTAGTGTAGTATAGTAGTTTACATAAGTTTCTATATCCAGAGTAGTTCAGGTGAATTATAATGTGGACAGTCCAGTTAAATGTTGAAAATCTAAACCCCATTTTTCTTCGAAATTAACATAAAGAAAATGCGTTGAAGTGGAAATCTAATGGCTAGCACCAAAAATAGCATCAGCTTTATTTGATATGACCTTGGTCACAATGAAGCTACTCTATATTTGGACAAAAAAAACTCTTTTTGTATATGGAAATGTTGAGATGGTAATTTTTTCCAGACACGTCTGTACACTACATGTACATGTACATTGTACATGTACATGTACATCATACAAGTACTGTACAATTCGTTTCTAGAGGGAGGGTTTACATGTGTACCGCACATGTATATGTACAGTGCCAACAAATGTACAGTGTTTACATTAAAGGGTGGATTCTCTTAAGCCTCCTATGCAAACATACACATTCTGAGCCAAGTAGTCCTTTCAGTCAGAATCAATCAAGTGACTGTTTTCAACAGTTCAGAATTCCCAGGCTACATAAAGCAGGATTGACTGGCTGGGACTGTTTATATAACTCGATACAGCTTTGGCTGTGGGTGATTGTAAGCTAGCTGTGCCCACAACTTGCCTGCTTTGTCTGTTCATGGTCTGTTGACTGAGCTTGACAAGGCACAGTGCTTGCTTCAAGTTGCTTGACAAACATACATGATCTGACTGCTGGTGACTAGACTGTGTTAAAAGTATAGCAGGAAATTCTGACTGTCTGTGACTGCTTAAATAGCAGGAGGGCTAGTACATGTACTGTACATGTAGTTGGGCAGTCATCAACATGCACAATGCACACATGTAGAAAACCTCAATAATGCAAGCATCATAACTATTGAAAACTCTAATTAAAACAATTAAGACTGGACAAGCCCATTAAAAGCTGGCCATAGAGTGCACAAAATTCTATTCACTTGATTTCAAAAGGACTATTCACTGGAAGTCTTTTCATGTATTCATGTACACATTGGGCCGGATTCACTTGGTAATCCTACACAACAGCACTGCCCGGCTGGCCCTCTGGGATCAGCAGAAGGCATCCTTTCATTTATGATCTATTGATCGGAATTCTATCATTTTATCTTCCAGAATTCCTTTGTGTCTTCCGCCCCGACGTACGATGACTCCTCAGGCAAAAGCGGCTCCAAGTTCCTGCGGACGCACGACGGCAAGTTCTTCGTCAAGACCATCACGCGGGAGGAGGTGGAACTGATGTTCAACGTTCTCCCCGAATACCACAAGGTTTGTTGCTAAGCACGGAAGTTTATTGCCAAGCAGGAGCGGGTTACCAGTCAAAATGATATGTAATGTCTGTTGCATGTATGCGACTGGTTTCCAGCTAATAATGGCTTAGCAAGAAAATTTGTTAAGTACAGAAAATCTGTGCTGAGCAAGAACGGGTTACCAGTCAAAACACCGCTATCATGTGATTTATATGGTTCCCAGCTGGTAATTGCTAAGCAGAGAAAAGATAGCTTAGCAGTAACAGGTTACCATAAAAAAAACCTCATGCGATGTATGTTGGTGGTGACTGGTTCCCAGTTGAAAACTGCTGAGTAAGAAAATTTGCTAAGCACAGAGCAGGTTACCGGCCAAAATGTTCATGTGGCACATGTTGCATGTGACTGGTTCCCGGCTAATAAATGTTAAGCAGGGAAAAGTCTTGCTTAGCAATAGCAGGTAACCAGCCAACATGTCATGCAATGCATGAAGCTGATGACTGGTTTCCCGCTGATAAACTGCTTAGCAAGAACAGTTTTGCTTAGCAAGAGCAGGCTACCAGCCCAAATATCATGTGATGTGTATTGCCTGTGACTGATCATGCTGGTTCCCAGCCGACAATTAAGAATGAGTAGGCACTTTAAGGTTAAAAAGATGATGGTAGGTTGGAGAAGAACGACATCCGCCATCATGGAAAAAGATCTCAAATGCAGTAGATTTTTTGGAGAAAAAAAATATCCGCTACCATGGATCAGTCATTGGCCCAAATCCCCCCCCCCAAAAAAAAAATACCCCAAAATGCCAAATCACCCTATTGTTAAAAAAGTCGGATGATAAATTTTTTTTGGCCTAAATGTGGTCCTATTGAAAACAACATATGAGACCCTGTTATTTTTCACTATGACTGTATGAGCAAGTTCCGTTTTCATGATGTTTCAGTATCTAGGCATGTCTGAGTGAACTTTGGACAGTGAATGTACGTCTTAATGAGTTTTTCTTTAATTTCACGTCCTCAGAGTATAGTCGAGTCCCATGGGGAGACGCTCTTACCGCAGTATCTAGGCATGTATCGGTTAACCGTGGACGGCACGGAGACGTATATGGTGGTCCTACGTAGTATCTTCAGCTCCACCCTCCCGGTCCATACCAAGTATGATCTGAAGGGGTCCACGATAGACCGGCAAGCCAGTGAAAAGGAAAAGGTGGGTAGCTTGAGGATGATCACAAGTGCTTCTCCGGACTGGTCACTGTGACAAGTAAATCACAAGTCCAGTCACAAGTTAATCACAAGTTCATTCAAATATTAATCTCAAGTCAATTCACAAGTCCAGTCACAAGTTAATCACAAGTCCAGTCACAAGTTAATCACAAGTCCAGTCACAAGTAAATCACAAGTCCAGTCACAAGTAAATCACAAGTCCAGTCACAAGTAAATCACAAGTCCAGTCACAAGATAATCACAAGTCCAGTCACAAGATAATCACAAGTTCAGGTACAAGTAAATCACAAGTCCAGTCACAAGTTAATCATAAGTCTAGTCACAAGATAATCACAAGTTCAGTTACAAGTTAATCACAAGTCAATTCACAAGTCCAGTCACAATTAAATCATAAGTCCAGTCACAAGTGAATCACAAGTCCAGTCACAAGTAAATCACAAGTTCAGTCACAAGTTAATAACAAGTTCAGTCACAAGTTAATGACAAGTTCAGTCACGAGTCAATCACAAGTCCAGTCACAAGTAAATCACAAACTCAGTCACAAGTTAAAGACAAGTTCAGTCACAAGTCAATCACAAGCCCTGTCGCAAGTAAATCACAAGTCCAGTCACAAGTAAATCACAAGTCCAGTCACAAATAAATCACAAGTCAATTCAAAAGTCCAGTCACAAGTTAATCACAAGTTCAGTCACAAGTAAATCACAAGTTCATTCAAAAATTAATCACGAGTCAATTCTCAAGTCCAGTCACAAGTAAATCATAAGTCCAGTCACAAGTAAATCATAAGTCCAGTCACAAGTTAATCACAAGTCCAGTCACAAGTTAATCATAAGTCCAGTCACAAGTTAATCATAAGTCCAGTCACAAGTTAATCACAAGTTCAGTCACAAGTAAATCACAAGTTCAGTCAAAAATTAATCACAAGTCAATTCACAAGTAAATCACAAGTCCAGTCACAAGTAAATCATAAGTCCAGTCACAAGTTAATCATAAGTTCAGTCACAAGTAAATCACAAGTCAATTCACAAGTCCAGTCAGAAGTAAATCACAAGTTCATTCAAATATTAATCACAAGTCAATTCACAAGTCCAGTCACAAGTAAATCACAAGTTCAGTCACAAGATGATACAAGTTCAGTCACAAGTCCAGTCACAAGTAAATCACAAGTTCAGTCACAAGATGATACAAGTTCAGTCACAAGTTATCATAAGTCCAGTCACAAGTTAATCACAAGTTCAGTCACTAGTAAATCACAAGTCCAGTCACTAGTAAATCACAAGTTAATCACAAGTCTAGTCACAAGTCCAGGCACAAGTCAATCACCAGTCAATTCACAAGTCAATTAGTCAATTTGTATTTGTCAAGTCACATGTAATCACAAGTTCAGTCACAAGTCAATTCACAAGTCAATGCGTAAGTCCAGTCGTAAGTAAATCACAAGTCCAGTCACAAGTCAATTCGTACGTCCAGTCACAAGTACATCAGAAGTCAATTTACAAGACCAGTTATAAGAACATCACAAGGAAGTTCACAGTCCAGTCTCAAGTAACAGGCGACGAGGATCAGTGGAATGCTTTCCTCCCAGTTTATTTGAATAGCTTGTAAGTGGACTTGGAACTTAACAACTTGTGATCCATATCAAGTACTTCAAGTACAATTCTGGTTTGGGGCTTACAAAACCTAGGTTTTTTTAATTGCCTTGGCTTCAGGCTCCCTTAACAAATCTAACGCCCCTAATTTTAGAAGTAATAATAATAATAATAGTGGATATTTATAAAGCGCACGTATCCACCAGGACTGGTGCTCAAGGCGCTACATCATTATTACCCTTGCTCACTGGGCACATGAAACATTCCAAATACCATCTCAGCTCCCATGAAACATTCCAAATACCATCTCAGCTCCCATGAAACATTCCAAATACCATCTCAGCTCCCTGGGGAGTATACAGCTCGATGTAGCCTGTTAGGCGCAAGGAAGCTAATTCAATCACAATAACCATCTCTGCCCTCACAGGTACCCATTTACTCCTGGGTGGAGAGAAGCAATGAGTGACAAAGTGCCTTGCCTAAGGGCACACGCACCATGACCCCGCCAGGACTCGAACCCACAACCTGCAGCTTTACCCACAGACCACGAATCAGTGCCCTTAACCACGAGGCCACAGCACTCCACGAAGTGCCACTCAATATGGGTCCATTTGCTACTACAGGATTTGCCGTTTGAATATCAAAATTGTTTTGGTCTTTCCAGGACAAGGAACTACCCACCTATAAGGACAACGATTTCCTGAGCGAAAACAAGAAAATCCACATCGGTACGGAGGCCAAGGACAGGGTGCTGGGAAAACTGAAGAGAGACGTCGAGGTAAGAGTTGGGAGAATAGATTCAGGTGCAGAAACCCGTCCAGATCGTTGAAAGTCATCAGAGGTGGGGGATCGACATTGAGGAGTTGAAGAATTGTGAAAAGTAGAAGCTAGTTTCTATCAAATGATGTTTGTTTAACACTTTCCTTACCATGGGCGACTTTTGTCGGCAAGGAACTACCCCCTGCTGCTTACCATAGGCGACTTTAGTCGACCAGGAAACCACACACAGAACACCCTCAACACAGATTTATTCACTGCTTTTCAGCAAGCTGGCATGTTGGTATATTTGGCCGCCCATACATCAACCATATACCAGCTGAAACAGTGTTTTGGGATCGTTCTAATGGTGAAGTTCATTATGTTACCATTACAAAAATTTAAGAAAAGTGCTTCAGAAGTATCCACGCATGATTTCAGGTATGGAGTGCTATTTGGTCATGTGGTGAAATGGCTTGCAGTTTGATAACTGGGACCAGATCAACAAACCGGCATAACTGTTTTATATTTGCACATATGGCCTTGATCTTTACCTCACGGAAAAGAGTAAAGCTCAAGGAACAAACTTTACACACAACACCTTTGATTTTAATCACCTTTTGGCAGTGAAAATCTGTGTTGAAAAAATTGAGTTTTCAACTTGTGGTCCTTTTTTTCACGCTCTGGTGATTTCAGCATGACTGAGCAAACAATTTGGTCCTGGGGAGAGCCAAGTCAATAAACAATGTGGTAAGGAAAGGGTTAATGAAATATTTATCAAAAAATGGTGAAGTAATAGGAAACTTTTTCCAAGCCACATCTCCCTATTATTTCTAATGGTTCCAAATCTAGGGAAAGAATCCACCATGGAATCAAGTAGGGCGCTAAAAGCCAATTCCATGTGTCTGCATCTGGGCTTGATTCGAAAACTGCTCATAGAGTCGGAAGGCAATGAAAGGACCACTACCGCAAACCTGATTTTAGCTAATGCTGTCAATTAAACCAGCAGTAGAAGTGGGCGGAAAACCCCAGATAAACCCACAGAATTGGGTCTACAGGGACTGAAAACCAATCCACGTGTGGGATTCGAACGAGGTGGGACTCGAACCAGGGTCAAGGGGTTGAAAAGCAAGAGCGGCACCACTGTGCCAACCTGCCTCGAAAAAACCCAGGGCCAACCTCATTATTTCATAGTGCTGTCAATTGTAACCCCTCCCCCTGCCAACAGTTCCTGTCGGAGCTGAAGCTGATGGACTACAGCCTCCTGGTGGGCATCCACGACCGGGACCGCTTCGAAACCGAGCAGAAAGCCGACCACAACGAGGAGAACGGCGAAGAGGACGACTCGGGCAGCGGGGGCGCCCTCACGCCACCAGACAGCCCCGGGCCCATCGGCAGGCAGCAGCTGCTGTCCAGTGGGGAGTACGAGTTTGACTCGGGGCAGGACGTCTACGCCATTCCATGCGAAGAGGGTAAGTTCATGGCTTCCAAAAACTATCACAGAATAGGAGCAAAGATTCCATTGTCAGAGACGCTAGTTGTAGACTTTGGGAATGGGCAGTACTGATGAAGCCTGCCTTAAATGAAACATTAACATATTTAGTGTTCGCAGATTTTTCAAAGCTGCATGTTTGATCTTCCCCATGGATGTATTTCAGGTGCGCCGAAGAACGAGGTCTACTTCCTGGGGCTCATAGACATCCTGACGCACTGGGGTGCCAAGAAGAAGGCTGCGCAGGCCGCCAAAACCGTCAAGCATGGGGTGAGACACTTTGTTCAAATGTGTGTTGAGCCACATGTCATTCACACGACAATCACTAGTCAGTCACATGTCAGTCACATGTCAATTGTGACCAAAATCGTCAAGCATGGGGTGAGAAACTTTGTTAAAATGTGCCTTGAGCCACATGTCATTCACACGACAATCACTAGTCAGTCACATGTCAGTCACATGTCAATTGTCACCAAAACCCGTCAAGCATGGGGTGAGAAACTTTGTTCAAATGTGCCTTGAGCCACATGTCATTCACACGACAATCACTAGTCAGTCACATGTCAGTCACATGTCAGTCACATGTCAATTGTGACCAAAACCGTCAAGCATGGGGTGAGAAACTTAGTTCACATTAATCTTGAGCCACATGTCATTCACACAACGTCACTAGTCAGTCACATGTCAGTCACATCTCAACTCAACTGTGACCAAAACTGTCAAGCATGGGGTGAGAACGAAGAATCAGTTCATCACAGGTCAATCACATGTCAATCTCATGTCAATCTCGTGTCAGTCACATGTCAGTCACGTGTCAGCCACATGTCGGTCACATGCCAGCCACATGCCAGCCACATGCCAGCCACATGCCAGCCACATGCCAGGCACATGGCAGCCACATGGCAGCCAAATGGCTGTCACATGTCAGCCACACGTCAGCCACATGTCTGCCACATGGCTGTCACATGTCTGTCACATGTTGATCACAAGTCTATCGCAAGTCTCCCAGTCTGAAGCCAAGTGACGAGCTACGAAAACGACGTGTGACATAGACAGTACTTGGTCATTGTTCCTGATTGATTAATGGTTGATCTGTGAGTGACTACGTGACATTGTTGATCAAATGAGGAAAACTTTGCAAACTCAAAAGTCAGTGAAATTGGCAAGATCTTGACAGTCTTTTAAAATGCGTCAGTTTACATGATCCGACTAAATTTTGTCCATTTTTGTTTTTAGGCTGGTGCTGAGATATCCACAGTGAGACCAGAACAGTATGCGAAGCGGTTCCTAGACTTCATAGAAAAAGTATTACAGTAAATAAGGTAACCAAAAACAGAAATAACGAAAATGTAAAAATAAAAAAAAAAATACTAAAAACAATTTAAAAATACAACTGTAATCTGGTGGTTAAGCGGGGCCAAGTTCGCAAAGCCTGTAAGCAGATAATATTTTTTCCTCTTCTTGTGCTATGTTTGCTAAGCAGCTGAAATCCATGCTTACTCTGTTTGGGTGGTCATGTGGTGATGGTATAGATGGTCTTGATAGTGGTTAGCATGAGAAGTTTCTGCTTAACAGATTCGCCGGTGGGAAGTTGATTCTGTGTTCTGGACTCACGTATTGCTTTCAAGTCGAGAATGGAGACTGCGTCCATGTTTGTCTGCTTCCCGGAAGGCAAAACACAGATAGTAATGGAGATGGTCGGTTACGTCATGCGTACCAGTCTGTTTTGACCCCCGGATGTCAATACAAACTTAAAAAGCTTTAACATGTTTTTGAAAAAAAAAATTCAAAAGAAAAGAGTGACTGCTGTGCACACAGTGGGGACTGGTGGTAGTCAAAATGTGCCCAAATTCTGGAATGGAAAGATGCGAACGAAAGCAGGTCTCATGACGAGAAACAGTTTTCTGGAAATATTGACTTTGACGTAGGAGATGGTCTTGATATGGGCATTACATATGGTTAACTAACAAAAAAGAAGAGAAATATTCAATTTAGCTCTACGATAGGGCTGTCCACCGACTTTCCAAATAAATCGGTATTCGATTATTTGAAACTGCATTTGATCGAATAAGCGAAATTTGCTGATCAAGTCTTACTTTTGCCAGCTGTAACAGCGTGCCGCGCCAGGTAAAAATTGTGTGCTGCGTTGATATTCAAATATTCAGTTTATGTTTGAATATTCATATATTCGGGACAGCCCTACTGTAAGAAGACAGAAGCTTTCTTTTTGGAAAGGTAAACCTAAAAAAGAATTCCAAAGTCAAGGGGGGTAAAATGAGAAAATGGTAAACAGTGTATGTATAAGTATCCTTCTGGTTAGTGATGGCTTAGGTATGAGACTACTGATAAAAAAAATGAATAATATGAAAAAAATATGTACAGTAAAGCGGCAAGTGTAAAAAAATTGGATATGGTATGTGCAAGACTCAATGAGGGCGCTCTTTTGTTTAATCGGAAGGGTTTTCTTGAAGGATGTTAGAGCAGATTGTATGTTTTATTATGAGCTCCGTGCGTGGACAAGAGAAGGCGCTTATTTGACATTCGAGAGCTTCGTGGACGGGACACACAGCGTGTGCGTACTGGTTCGCGCGCATATGGCGCAAAGTACGCACTACTTGTTATATTCTGAATGTACACAAAGCCATAAAGTCTTCGCGTGAGCGTTAGGTGTCGTTGGTAATGCGTTCGAATGTCACTCCAAGTGGTCTCCCCCAACTCTCCCATCCTTGCCATTGAGGGGGTACTTGTGCACGGAGCTCATAGTCTTGATCCGAGATGTGGATTGTATTCCTTTTATACAGCCGGTCCGTGACAAGCGAGGTCGCTATCAACAAGATAAACCAGATCCAGTCTGGGCAATATTGGCAGCGCTACCCAGGAAATTCCACGCATACCTGACTCATGTGCATTTAGTTTGAATACAGCGGGCGTGAGGTATGCTCTAAATATCCCGGGTAGCGCTGCCAATATTGCTAAGACTGGATTTGAGTCAATTAAATAAAAGATACCTTTTTGAGACTTTGAAACTGGATTTGAGTCATCTTGTTGATAAGAGACCGCCGCACCACCATGGCTGCAACTTATCTGCATTTGTCACGGGGCTGGCTGCAAAATAGGGGAATACAAATTCCAATCCGGACTTTGGACAAATAGTGGTTTTATGACAGCTTTTGTTTCTGCAATAATAAGTTTTTTGTTTCAATAATTTCATTGGAAACACTTTGAAAATTGGAAGATAATCATTAGCTTTGTCGGTTGTCTGTTTTTTTGTTTGTTGCTTGTTGCAGTTTATGTTTGATTTCCTGAAATACAAAACCAAGCATTCATTTGCTTCAGTTAACCCGAAGAATCCTTCATGTGGGGGAATAAATAATCATCGTAAACATCGGTTGTCTTGGCAACGTTTAACGAAAAGTTGCATTGAGCGCGCTCAGGTTCACTGCCTCTCAGTTTACTCGAACAGTATTAAGTTTTTGAAAAAAGACGATGTGCAGTTTTCTCGGAGGACAATCGGGAAGAACAACTGCCGTGTCTATATATTCTGTATCTGTGCATCTTGTATGTCGTTTGCATTTTTTTTTAGAGTACTTTTTAGGTTGCTTAATACTCGAGACTTTTTTTTACGAAGCAGTAGTGAATCCTATGTCGGCCATCTTTTTCTTGTTCCTGGAATACACCCTCAGATGTCCTCATGTGATAAGTGGCCTCTTTTAGCACCAGACTCATTTCAAAACGCTATATCTTAGTAGAATATTGTACATACAAAATAATTGAACAATGTACGGTAGACATTGTTGAATTAAAGAGGTGAGAATTTCCACTTTTTTATTTGCTCGAAAATTTCAGGCATTTGTTATTGTAAAACAGAATTTCCCAAGTAATACACATAACGACATTAAAATACATACACGACATCTTGAGTCAGCTGGGTTCGGCTGTTCTACAAATTAACAAATTTGTCATTTATCTTGTTTTTTTGTGTGTGTGTGACTTAGTTACCATACAACTATTTGCATTAAACTGAAAAGGATGAATTACTTTCATTTATTTGTTTTGAAACATTCTATCCCTGTGTGTAGGAATGTCTCACGTTCTGTATTTGATAATCTACACGTACATCTAATAATTCTATTATTGCTGCTACATCCAAACACATAAACCAAAATTTAAGGCTGAAAAAAACTTTGGAGAACCGATCCCTTTTTTGGATTTTTGTGTTGTCTGTTTTGTGTAATCGTTTGCCGAGACAAGAGAAACATGAAGTAAAATAAAATTGTGATCAGATCACCAAGTGGTATTTATTCAGGCCCAAATCTGACCAAATGCTTATAAATTTATCTTGTTTGTTTAATTTTTAGCTCAAAGCTGTTGTTAAGACTTGTTAAAATATATTGTTCAGTTGTACCAGTTTGGCACAAGTGTGTCCACTGAATTGGGATGGATCGCCATCTGCCCAAGTATGGACCCCCAATATGGCTTTGCCTGGCCAGCTTGTATACTGCCCTCTTTTGACAACAAAAGACATGAAGTTTGGATTTTTGGGGGAAAAAACGTGAATTTTACCCACTGGGTTTTCGGCCGCTGTCATATCTCGGTGCATGCTTTGCTGGTAATATGGGGCTAATATAGGTAATATAGCGGTTAATAATTTGTAACATGCATTGCAACTATTTTGTTAAATTTCTAAAAATTTATGCTTTAGACAACAAGTTTATTATTGTTTAGATGACAATACTAACATAATTGTCTCAAGGGTCGTGCAGTCATTTAAATTTGATCTATAGTCAATAATTGTTTTGTTAAAATTTCAGATCCCCTTTCGTAAATTTTAATTTTAAAAAAGGCGGTTTGAAAGCAGCATTTTATTTGGGAAACTTACAAAAAAGCGAACTAATGACAAACCATGTTGGTATATGTTTTGTAAATCTGTTTATAATTTGTATTTTACAGTTGGAACGTCAGGTTTGGGACTGTAATATGTTGTATTTTTTGTTCTCACAAGTTTCAAAAGTCAACAAAAATTCTTGAATATTAACAGCGAGAATGTTGGGTGCTAGCTGAATAGCAATTAGTTCTTTTGTTGTATTTGTGTTGGCGTTGATGATTTGTTCAAGGGTTCAGCGGGTCAGGTCGTAGGTCAAAGGTGAAAGGTCATCAGACCTTCAAGAGCGACATTGGACATTTGAACCCTTATCGATGAGACGCCCTTGTTTTGGTTGTTTTACACACAAAAATTAATAACTGCATACAGCTAATAATTTTGTCTTACAAAAATTAAGAGATTTGAAATTTTTGTGTTGAGTTTTGTTTAAGTTTTTGAAAAGTAATACAGTGGAATTGAATGAATTTCTCTATCCGTAGCTTGTAATATGAAATTTTATTTGCTTTTAAAAATTAACCACTATAAAGATCTGGCAGACTATTTGAAGAAGAAAAAAAATACCTTAAAAATATGTAAAATATGTTAAATATTAGTTAGCCTGTTGGTTCTTTGTCCCTAAGTTGTTTTTGTCTTAATTTTTGTCGATCCACATTCCCATGATATTGTATTTGTGTTTACTCTTCATATTATAGCCGATTAAATAAAAAATAATAATAGCACTGTGAATTGGATAAAAGCGGCTTTTGATGCACTTATCTTGCAGATTTATTTCTGGGAGTTCTGAACGCTTTTCAAGCCGTTTTTGTCGAAATCCACAGCTTATACGTTTTTTTTTCTATGAATGTGTACATTTTAACTGTATTGTGCTTCCTCCTAGTAACAATATACACTTATAAACGGCTGTTATATTATTATATACGTGTGCGATTAAGTAATTACAAGACTATCCGGTTCGTTAGTGTGACGTCACCTCCAGCACTTTCTGCACGATTGGAACCGGAAGTTAACGCAGCTCGAGCGTTTGCAGCCAATGGGCGCTAGTAATCAGTGGTGTGCGCGCGTGTATGACGTTTTTACTAACGAACCGGATTGTGATATTAGCACGCCTTGCTTGCTCGTTGATTGGCCAGTCGTGGGTTTTGAACAGCCAATCCAGTCACAGTAAAGTTACTAACCGGAGAAGGTGGCATCGCAGCAACCATAGGTGGCGCCGTACTGATATCTGTGTTGAGAACCCTCAAAGTTCCAGACCAATAAATAGATTGCCATAGACCTCAGTGGTAATTACGCGCACTTCCCAAACTTATTTTAAAATGGTCACAACTCTCCAAGGTGTTCAAGACGCGCATCAAATCAAAGCTTATTTTACCATCTTCCATTTTCTGCTCAATTTTTGGGGGTAATCCGGTAACTTTTTGGAGAAATTTCCATCCGAAGATGATCCCCTCTAAAGTAGTCCTGAAGCCCATCGCCATTTTGAAAAATGAGGCCTACGCTCCACTGCAAAGAAGAGCGCTTTTAGTCCCCAATTTCATTGAAATTTCACAGAAAATAATACAGGCTCACAGTCCTGTGCACGGCTTCCACCCTTCTGTGTTACAAACCCTCAAGTTCATGGCCCACAAAATGCTCTAATACCGAAGAATTTGAGGGCTTGCAAATCGTGATTTGGCCGGCGTATGCAATTTTGAGCTTATTTACTGGTCTGGAGCCTTAAGTAAATAGTGCCTACAGTGGTTGTCATTGTCCTGTTTCGGCCATGTTGTGTCCAGAATTTGGATTGCCTGATGTCTCAACCCTTTTAATAAACATGTTTCAGGGTTTCAAAACTCTCCATCCCAAACGGCGTCACAAGGACCACCAGCGTTGCTTTTTATATAGCTGCACCTCCGAATAAGTAACTTACTGGCATTGACTGGAAAGTCATTAAGAGCATTTTTAGGTGGCTAAAGATTCTGTCAAAAGTGTCACAGTCTACATGTCGCAGGGTTTTTATACATATTTCTAACATTTTTTAAGACAACCTTAGGAATACAGATCATAGGAAAATCTTTGTTCAACCCAAAATTTGCAAAATATCGAAGACAAACAAGTTTACAGCAAAACCTACTTGGTAACTTTTCAGCCTATTTTTATTTTAGCCAATGGAACTCTACGCAAATCTGACTACATGCCACCTTAAAGTGTTTTTAAATGTGCAGTCTGAAATTGGTGACTTACACCAACGTGAAATGGTGTATTTGAAAAGGTTACTAAATCTAGCAGGAATTTCTAATGGCGAATCTTATACTGTTAAAGATCTCGTTTCTACACATTTAAAACAAATAAGCGTTCAACTGTTGACGCACAACTTATATTAATAATGAATAATTCATCAAGTGTGAAACATGGGACCTCCCATTATTTTCAGTCCCTTTGGCTAGACGCCTGATGCGTCACCAGTAGGTAAAATGCACGCAATTCCGATGAAAATTGGATATCATAATAAATTATGGACGTATTAGTTTATAATGACTAGAAACGAGATCTGTGATGGTGGAAATTTAACGATGTTCAGTAATGATTTATTGTCTAGTCCGTATGACGAATGTTGGTGTCTATGTCGTATAATGATCAATCTATTAATGTAAAATGCAATGTAATAGATGAAAGTTTGGAGGAATAAAATCCAAATGAAATACAATTGGTGTCTAGGTTGAATTTGGTGAGTAATTTTGTTACGCTGAGTTTGATTATGTTTGCCTTGTGACCAGTATTATAGCTACATACACAAGTATACGGGTTTTATGACATGCTTCAATATCTAGTTTGCCAACGACTGTTTCATTTATATGAAGTAATCACAAGTTCTATTGAACGGACTTTAGCAGCACAACGAAATTGCCATCGATTTCGTTCACATAGATCAGCTATTTCATACAAGAATCGCATCCCGCAAGTGAGACGTGTGGAAGTTATAATCTCTGCTTCTAGTTGTTATACTAAACAAAACCCTGACAGATTTATCCCACTTCTGACACCAGGAGAATAAATTATGTAGATACAATTATCCCTCTCCGATCCTGACATTGACACATAACAGCATTATACTTTAGGCCAATAGTCCAATACCGAATGTTTATATTGCCTGTACGCGCCCTGCCAACATTGAAATTGTTAGATTCTTACTCTGGATGGCAATTATTATAGAAACGTATCCCACTTCTGACACCAATAAATACATGTACATGTACGTTGATGTATTTAATCCAAAGCGACTGTTTCTACTGTCCGAACTGCAGCCGCCGACGTCGCACCCGTAAAATTGGCGTTCTGATCGGTGCGCGATGTCGGGTCTCCGGCCTGTCGCCGCCTCTTCTGCCCGAAGCACACGGGGAACGCCTTCTTGAAGTATCGCCTGTAGTTCTCCCCCATGAACGCGTAGACAAACGGGTTGACCATCGAGTTGGCGTAGGACAGCGTGTGGGCCGCCATCTTGAAGATATAAGTGGGGTCGGTGCGCGGGAACGCCGGATCCAGCCTCATCCAGAGGGTGATGACATGGATGGGCAACCAGCAGACGGCAAAGACCAGCACCACCACCAGAACCATACGGGTGACTTTGCGCTTCTGACGGGCGTTGTGGAGCCCCGAGTTTGGGTCGGCTGTTTCCCCGGGTGAGACCCGAGTCCAGAGCTTACGGAGCATGAGACTGTAGCACACGCTGATGGTGAAGATGGGAATGACGTAGAGGAGGATGAAGCAGAAGACGACGTAGCCGGGGTACATGATCTGGAGCGGCCATAGCTCCAAGCAGACCCAGACATCGCCCGGTTGGAGGCTGAGGTCGAAGAAGATCGGCACGGGGATGGAAATCAAGAACGAACCTGTAAAACAAGTTTTAAAAAATACAAGGTAGGTAAAACAATAAAAATACTGTGTACAAGTAATGAACTTTAATGGACCTTCCTGTCGGTCAATCAAACAGTGCTTATTGACCAATAGATCGATCCTTTAGGCTCCGCCCACTGAGCATGCAGTACGCAAGCAGTACGCATGTCGGACTTTTGTGCATTATGCATTAATCACAGCTGTGACATTAATCACAGCTGTGATTGGTCAAAACATCATGGGGCGGAGCTTAATGGATCGGTCAATTAGATCGCGACTTTCAGTCAGGTGACCGTAGCTTGGTCAAACTTGGTCATAAGCGCTGTGAGAAATGTACAAAAAGTGGGCGGGGCTCGACAGTCTTCGTTCCCGTTCGCGGTACAACCACCTCTCCCATGATGGGTCAGTGGGCGGGCCGTCACCGCGTTATGTGGAATGTTGTATTATTAGGCAAATTAGGACCGAGTTGTGGGGACTTTCTGCTGTCCACACAGCGTCTTCGGTCCCCATAGTACCATGGGACAACTCGAGTGTAGTCCCCACAGTTACGGAACAAGAGGATTGGTGTCCCTCCCACCCCATAGCCTGAATTCGTGTGTAGGGCCAGGGCCTATTCCTTACCGATCCAGATGCCAAATTAAGACCCAGTTATGGGGACTTTCTGCTGTCCCACAGCGTCTTCGGTCCCCATAATACCATGAGACAACTCGAGCGCAGTCCCCACAGTTACGGAACAAGAGGATTGGTGTCCCTCCCACCCCATAGCCTGAATTCGTGTGTAGGGCCAGGGCCTATTCCTTACCGATCCAGATGCCAAATTAAGACCCAGTTATGGGGACTTTCTGCTGTCCCACAGCGCCTTCGGTCCCCATAATACCATGGGACCACCCCATAATCTGAATTCATGTGTAGGGCCTATTCCTTACCGATCCAGATGCAAGCGTTGACGATACAGGCTACCCTGGTGGTGCGTGATTTCAGTGATCGGATCGGATGGACGATGGCCTGGTAGCGGTCGATGCTCATAGCCGTCAGCGTTAGGCAAGTGCATTGCCCCGTCACCTGCAGTGAATGACAAATTATTGTCAAAAAAAAAAATAACTGTCGGGAAAACAAGCTCGAAATGATCTTGGAAGCTGCGGCCTAACTGTAGATCTGTTGTGGCCTATAAGTCATGTTAATGATGTGCCTATAAGTCATGTACATGATGTAAAAGTATGTTTTTGTGTATGTGACAAAATTACTACATAGACTAAAGAATACAAAAACTGAGTTTGTGATCTTGGAAGAGGATTGAGGTTGATGCCAAAACAGTGTACGAGAGGGAGCAGGGTTATTAGTATGAACTCGGACTCATAATGCCTTTGCAGCTTCTTGTAACTGAGAGTGTAAGCATTGAGAGTGTAACATGTAAGCATTTCTGTCATTTCTATAATGCTGAGTGCCCTTTTCTGAGGATGCGTTCTAATAATGTAAAAGCATCGCGAATTGATGAGAACAGAATTTGAAAGATTCTCATTTAATGTCAGAGTGGCATGAGGAGATTAGTTTTGTCTGTTTGCGGCTAAGCTACTCTGCTGTCACTTAAGAAGATACTTTCATTGTTTGCAGAATATACATGCAGTCTGCACAATTTGCAATTTCACTAGCTGATGAGAACTAACCAAGACCATAGCGCAGTTATCAGAAAAAGACTATGGAGGAAGGAATCTCATTGTATTGTATACCATGTTCTTTTAAACCTCCAAAAATGTACTTGCTACATTCTCAGCACTTGTTTTGTCAATGCTACATATTTTTAATATTTTCTTTAATTTGGGTCCAGATCATTCTGACTCACCCTGTACGCATAGACCTTTTTTTATTAAATGAATGATTTGGTTTTTTTAATAGAATGTTATTTACAAAGAAAAAAATATATAGTTTTAATATTTCCATTGCAAGGTTCAACACGGGCACGAAATCAGTCAGTAAAAGCGCAGTCTAATAATTTCTGCATTTCTCCAAATATCCTGCGGAGAAAAAAGGAAGGAAGAAAACAAATTGCAGACGACGGAAGGAAATAGCACCGGAAACAGACGGATGTGAGTCCCCGCAAAATGACGAAAGGAGACCGTCATAAAATGCCCTTTCCGTGGCGATTAGGTGTCGTCGTAACTCTCATGCCCCGAGAAAAATACGAATCTGACGGCAGATGGGTCTCGGTGCAATCACCGGCTTATTATGAAATGCCCCGGGGAGATTCTCGATCACCTCATGCCCGTTTTTGTGGTGTTTTTACTGCGGTATAAATGTTCAGGTTTTTCATTAAGGACCCTTTCTTGATTTGTTACGAATCCCACTGTCTGACTGGACGGGTTGTATGTCTTATAAGTTGCTTTCCCTTGTGACAAATTGACCGCAGAATGAGCGGAAATTAAAGCAGCATTCGGAATACTTTTACAGGAGTGGTGTCAGCAGTGATTTTTTTTTTATGGAAATGAAACCTGTCGCAATTAATCGGACTCCTCATGAACAAAACTGATTCCTACACTTATCGCCCTTGCATACGTGAAGTATTATTCTTTTGGAAACTATCCAGAATCTTTATCGCATGCATCGTTTGCATGATGAAGAAATTCCCATAAGGATGAGCCAGTCTTGGTAAAGTGGATCTGAATTTCACTTAACGGAGCTACCATACATTCCTTCCTCCCAGACTCGTGACTCGGACTCGGACTCGAGTCCGACCCGAGTCACATTTTCCGTGACTCGGACTACTCGAGTCACGATGACTCGAACTCGGACTCGGACTTGACGTTTGTGACTCGTGACTCGGACTCGACCTGCATGACCATGGACTAGGACTCGGACTCGGGAGAGGTGACTCGGATTCAGACTCGGACCGGACTCGTTGTTTGGTGACTCGAATACAATGAGTCTGCTTCCTCCATGACTCATCCAAAGTTAGCAGTACGCTGAGTCGAATGGTTGAGTAGCCATGACGTCATTGGACTAGGACTCGGACTAGGACTCATGACGTTATTTGTTTTCCTACCACTTGTATTCTGGGAACTGCTCATGGGTGGGACTTTCATACGAATCGTTTGTCCATCACGTCGTTAAGTTTGGCTCCAACCATAGATGGCGATTGGGGGGAGGGGCCGGGGGAGACCTATTCCCCTTATCTTTGGGCGGAGACCGCCGATGGCGCTGTCCCCCACAATAAATTAAGCTATACCAGTAGCATAGAGTTAAATAAAAATGAGTGTTTTTGTTTTCCAAATTGTGCAGTATAGGTCCAAAGTTGCTTCTGCGCAACCCCGTTTCACGGAAATGACACGTGCAACTGTATATTGCGAGGAATGGTCTTACATGCGCATAACTTATGTTCACATGTACATGTCTTTTGAAAAGCACCCCAGATAACCATAATTCTCACCCCCCCCCCCCCTCTTTCCAATTTCTCAAGCCGCACGTCCTACCTCCCCCTTGTTGATAAGACATCGCTGCTGTTGGCACCAACGAAGACCTTAAGACCGTTTGGTTTTTGTATGGATGAGATTCCCGTCCGAGTAGACCTATCTTTAATGGTTTTATCCTATGGTCAGACTTTATTCTCGGTATTAAAATGCCGGCATATACATATAAAATCCTGATTCTGCAATGCGGTTTTGGTCACGCATCTCGTTATGTAATTACAACTACACGGGCAATTTCATCAACATACATGTATTAATTTTGAAGAACACACCTCGAAAGATACGAAAAATCAATCATCACAAATGGTGCTTTTAAAAGTTTCAGGAACTGTGCCAGTGTCGAGCACAAGTTCTTGTCGAGCATTGGCAAATGGTGTTTCAGACCATGACACAATGGCATTGCCTTTTTAATACACAACTTGGAATAAGTCTATATCTTACCTGCATCATGTAGAAGACGAACTTACACATGAAGGTGCCGAAGAGCCAGTTAGGCGAGACGAAGAGGGTTGCCGTGAACGGGGCGCAGCACAGCAGGAAGGAGATGTCAGTCACGGCAAGGTTCACGATGTAGTAGTTGGTGACGGTCTTCATGTGTCCGTGCCTCACGATCACGTAGATGACCAGCGAGTTGCCCACCACGCCGCAGACCGTGATCAGGCCAAAGATGACGGGGATGAGCCAGGCGGCCCGCCCGGCCGTGGCCTGCTGGACCGGCCCGGACTCCGACGCCTCGGTGATGATGTCCGGGAACCGTGGTGCGAGCGAGCTGGTCGTGTTGGCTGGGAGGTAGGGCGGGGAGTCCGACGGCGTGAGCTCGGTGTCCAAGGGGGTCAGAGTGGAGCTGAGGAAGAAACCGAGGATTTGGGCGGTGGTGGAGGATGCAGATGCGGTTGCCATGGTTACTGGTCGATTATCAGCAGAGGCTCGATGAAAAAGTCCTGAAGGAGAAAAAAATGGCAAAATAACCGTTTACCTAAGAAACATAAATCATTATGATGATTGCATAAAATCTAGCCATCTAGACCTATGCATACGAGCATGTTAGCCTGATGTACCTATATTCCTTCCTTAGATCTTAGATAATGTTTAAGCTTTCAGAACCCGGCTGCAAAGTACCGAGCTACATTACTCTCATCACAGTTGCCCAAAAGTTCCTATTGATGAAACACAAGACTGAGTATTCTTTCTTTTTTCCTGGCCATTCAGCCAGTACATCCTTTCAGGAAATTAGCTCTATCCACTCGCACCAACTGTCGCACCCCAATTTCTCTACTCACCCACTGGCTTTCAGCAATTCCACTTTCTGAGACACTCGCGCGGCCGTAGACTCACTCCCAACCTCAACGCGTCATCTTGCAATCTGCGAGAAAGAGCAAAAAAAAAAAAAAAAAAAAAAAAAAAAAGATCCTCTCGTTCCGCGAATGATGTGTCGTGACGTTGCCGAGCATGATTGCCCCAGATTTATAGACCCGTGAGCCTCGCGCAGACGCCCGGTATAAGATCCCCCCTCTCTTCTCTCTCGTCTGGATTACTTGGGAAAATTACCGCGGCACAACTTGCCGCTATTTGGGATTATTAAAACGACGCATCTGCAAACAAACTGGGAATACTTGGGCAGATTGTGTTGGTTCCCCGCGCCTAGACTGGCATCAGCCGTTTGGACTTGTCGGACGTGTTCTCTCTTCGAAACCGTATCTGCTTCTCTAGCTCTTTCTGCAAGCAATATTGTGTCTGTGGCATGTGCCTCTCGCGTGAGATACCTAGCAAAACAAACAGTTGTTTCTGAAAATAAAGCAATTCACATCGACAGGGATATCTTTTTTTTGGGGGGGGGGGAGTTTGTGTGAGTTACTGGGCGGCTTGTGTGAGTTACTGGCCAATGATACAGAAAGGTTTGAGCTTGTAATCAGACAAATTGGCACAGACACCGACTATTTAAACACATCAGTCATGAAAGGTCTCCAGTAACAGTTGCCCATTAATACCAGCCTCGATTTGAATGTCAATTTGAATTCGTACAGAGTATAATTATACTGGTACTCGCGCCGAACTTCAACCTGTGCTCACTCTATGCACAACTCATTACTTGAGGGAAAAGCTGTCATCCTTTCAGATTTCTTGCATATTTTATTTTTTTACCACATCATTCCTGCGATCAGCCGAAACAACTCAAGAGTTACAGTGATAACTCTCAATTTCTTATAACAATCTTCGTCGTTAGATTATACAACTTGTAATTTACAATTCGTCTTGTATACAACCTTCGTCTTATAGTTTCAAGATGGCCGCCTGTGACGTCACGCGCATGTATTGCGATGGGGCTATACAATACTTCAACCAGGGAGCTACGTTCGAGGGACTGGGAACAAGTCTATCCCCTACCGTTGACGTTTCATTAGTCTGCCGTGTTTATGTTTACGAAAAGGGAAATGTCAAAATAAACTATGTTTTTATTTGAGGGAATGAGTAAAAGCTCGCCAGGGAGAGGATGAAATGAGAACACGAGGTAATGCGTCGGTGGTTTATGATGAAAAAGGCAAGGAGACTCTTGTAATGAAAATAAGCATCACACGATGTGGCAAGATGGTCTATCTAGGCTTTAAGAATTACTCGAATTTTGTGCATACTTTCACCAATGTGACCAAAAACATGCCTTGTTTGGTACATCATCAGTGCATCGATCATGCGCGCTATCATCATTAATTGAAGGGGAGTACAAGACAAATCATGCCAAATAATGTTGATATATGTACTTGTTATTCTCACTGCAAGTGATGTAAGGGAATGATTACGTGTTTTTTTGTATACGTGTTCTTATTGACATGTTTATACAATTATTGTCCTCAACCCAACGATATCTGCATGTTAATTAAACAAAGTGTAATCTGCTGATGTATGATTATACCTCTCAGTAATCTTTTCAACACTCTTGGCGTTTAATACATCATTAACTCATGCCATTAATTTAAATTATCTGTTGATTGAAGTTGCTCAAAAATATCATTGCTAGAAACAACGCATCATATTACTTAATCTCTCTAAGAAAAACAAATCCTTTATTAAAACCTAGGGTTCACCCCAAACTTAACCCCAACTCTTTTGTAACCGTAAGCCTAACCATTAAATCAGTAAGTGAATTTTTTTCTTTGGAACATATTTTGTGCAACTTTCTACCCCTCTCGAATATATGAAACATATTTGACATTCCTTTTTGGTTAAGTTTATTGAAAAATGTTTCCAAATTTTCATGTTTTCCCAGACAACTGTTGGCGCTGTTGCTGTGATGTCATTTCAGGACGTCAATGTTCAGTTCAGCGGTTTTCTGTTGAAATTGTGAACTCAAAACTTTGCTCATTGAAAATATTTGTGAGAAATGTATGCTCGTTAGCTTACTGCCATAAAAGGGCACAACAACGAACCAAGAAGAGAAATGTTACGACAGCGAAATCATATCCAAAATTCTGGCAACTGTTTGTGCTAAAATAGCTGTAACATTGAGATTTCTGCCTGAAATGACATCACACTTTTGCTTATGAATATAGACATGCGCATTAGCAGTAAAACAAAAAAAAGGGTTCCATAGCACCCTTAAAATTACAAAACGAAAAGTGAAATTGAAATTGGACACAAAGGTGCATTTCCAAGGATTGTATTAAAACATTTATATTGCTTGGTCTATAACTCTAGTCATGTATGATATTGATAATGGCAATAGTGATATATTAGCCTCCCATGTTTAAAGTGTCACTGTACTTACGCGGTCATTAAAAGCCCGCTGAACAAGAAAACACGCGGTTATGACATAAACGCATCTTACCTTTCAAGAGCAGCCGAGAAATCCGAGCCTTTCCCGAGGAAAATAATGATCTGGAACGCCAATTTGCGAAATTGATCACCCTTTTAGGGCAACCTCGTCCCCAGTGCTTACTTTATTTCCAACCTCGTTTCCAATAGTAAGCCCTGGATAGGAAACTTTCTTCCTGTGTCCTGATTCGATGCCGCAGTTTGCTAGTAATGGATTTATATCGTGTAGTTGGTGGTATTACTATTAGTTTCCAACGTGCATTACGTGATTTCACGATCATTTTTAATTTTAACGTCCACGCCTTTTTATAAAATACTCCTTTCCTTTCCAGTTTGCTCATATTAATACGAAATGTGATGCTGCATATTGGCGGGCCAGATTGTAACATCTTAACTTCATAAAAATCGTGCTTTCATAACTCACGGCGCGACGAATTGATGCTGTTTTTACCCCAGACACCACATACAAAAACAAACGTCAATGTAACGCACATCCAGGTACCAGACTTCTCCTCATTTGCATACGTGTTCAAAAATCTTGCACATGCAAATGATCCAATGCCAGGATGAGAGAGCAAGTAGTGGTGGGCGCGTACTGCTCGACACCCTGGGGACGAGGTTGCCTATAGGGTGCCTTTATGGCAGGATTCTCCTTCTGTACAATGTGATAGATTTCTTGATCCCCTACAGAAGCTGCCAGCCGCGTGCGGCAGGTATCCATCGGAAAGATATGGCTCATCAATAACATTATTATTATAATATATCTTTTAATATGAAAGAATTTCAACTAATCAGCAGTCCATGTATTCTGTGTAATATAACTTCGGTCAATCAGCTGACCTTACGGAAGCAATTTACATCAATTTGCAAGGATGGGATTAGAGCCCATGATTATTTTCCCGCTTTCAGGAACTTTTTTTCTAAGAATCCCTTTTGAAAAGTGTGAGATTCCCAAGATTTTACGTGTGGGAGTTTTTACCCAGGGTTGTTTAGGAGTGCCTCAAGTTAGGCAAACACAATGCGTCATCTTCATTGGGCTGCTGCAGCCGAGATGGATGAAACCAAACTCTTCCAGACTCTCTTGTCCGCCATGGCCGTGGTGATGTCATCAACGTGCTGGCTCACATCATTGCATACAGTGTCAACGTAGTTGAGGGGTCTCCTCCCTCTGTTGAGGCAAGGCAATCTCAAGCAGATGAGATCGGAGAACACTATTCAAAATCCAAAGAAGAAATTTCAAAAACTAGCCTGTAGACGTTTCAGCTCAGATGGAATTACACTTTTCGAATTCGAGAAAACACATTTTTTTTCTCTTCTTCAATATCAGTTAATAAACTGACGTTGGAAAACACCTACATTTCTTAATTTCTTCTTAAAAAATGATGACAGCAAGCTTAAGGCAGACGGGTGGTTAGTATCAGTACAATCTTTAATCCAAGTAATTAAGCGTTTCGAGAACAATTTGGTAGGTTTCTTTTTGGATAAAATATGCAAATTATTCTGCCTTTAAACAAATACTAGGTAAGTAGCTGGATCGCTACATGGCAGCGCAGCTAGCTAGCAGTAAACATACATCACTCTTCTATCTTCGTCGGATGGATTTTAGATTCCAGACACTTAATCAATCGTCGTGAATTCACCGACGACAGCGGGGATTGACCTTCCGTGGATCCACCGACGAGCAATGCGAGAAAACTCGCTCGGATTCAGAGAAACCCGATAATCCTTAATCTTCCTTGAAAATACAGAAAGGTATTACAGGATATTGACGCATATTCGTTCGAATTCTTCCGAGTGAAATTAATTACTGGTCGGCCTCAAAATATATTCATTCATTTAATTTGTGTCGAAAAAACACTCGTAGACAAGTCTTGTCTGAGGATTATTTTGTAGAGCATCCAGACTGGATCACGGATGGTGTATTTTTTTGTGAAAATAAAAGTAATAGATTTTTACGCGCGAACTAGTATTTAACGCGTTCACGATGACTTGTAAAAAATCGATTCAATAGAGGGCGCTCTTGCAAATGTCCAGACGAAAAAGTTTGCAAAAGCGGAAAGTCAACTCAAAAGTTTTAGATTTGAAAACTGCCTTTCTACGGCAGTTCCCCCGGTTTT